AGGCTCAGGGTCTCGATTTAAATGCGTATACTGTGACTGCAGTTGGACTGTCTGTATCCGTTCTCAGATGAATTTGAGCAAGGCATTAAGAATACAGGGGGCACAAGTGACTGCTAGTAGGAGTAAGAGGAGAGGTCTGACTATTGCTGAGATCAAAGTTGTTAACCATGGGGACCAGTCAAATAGGGATTCGTAGCAATTTTGTTGATTTAGTCATTTGTTTTCTCTTTCCTTAAGTCTTTTATGGACCTCAGCCAAAGACTGTTTTATAACTCCCGAGTGATTAACATAGAAACAGCACTGTTCCTCTAGGGCAACACAGAGTCCTCCTTTCTCTAGAAAAAGTAAACCCAGCCCTCTCCTATTTTGTAAGGTTACCTCAGCTAAAGAGGATAGAGAATCTTCGAGGTGGTGGATAGATGTTCCTAATGATTGTATGTCTAAGTCTATGGCCTGTCTAAGAAGGTGATGATTTTTATCCTGGAGGACTAGCGCTGAAGCCCCCAGACCAGTTTCAGTGGTTACCCTGACCCCGAGTAAAGTAGACAGGACAGTTGCAGTGGTTCATATGGCCCTATGAGATCTAGACTCTTCTGAGGCTCTGATTTCCATTTCTGTTCTATAATATAGATGGGGAACCAGCTGCACTAGTACACAAAAATCCCTGGTCTGCTTTAAAATGGAAGAGTGGAGGCATGTAGTTAGGCCAGAGGTACAGGCCCACAAAGTGGAGTTGGGGGGGCACCATATATGGGTTAGGTGCAGTAGCCCCTATCTCTTGAACAGAGTTACATAGATGTTGGTAAGAAGGGAGGACAATTTTATGTGAGGGAGTCACGCATAGCCCTTTTCCATACACTTGGGTAAGGGTAAGTCCCCTTCTCCCTGTAGGTGGGGGAATTCTACAGGCAATGGGGTCAGAGGTGCAGTAGCCTCTATTTCTTGAACAGAGTTATATAGATGTTGGTAAGAAGGGGGGACAATTTTATGTGAGGAAGTCACGCATAGCCCTTTTCCATACACTTGGGTGAGGATAAGCCCCCTTCTCCCTGTAGGCGGGGGGGATTCTACAGGCAGTGGGGTCAGAAGTGACAACATAGTTTCTTGGGAGAGCTAACCCATCATAATAGGGAGGGCTCCGGTCCATGCAAAACCAGCAATGGATAGTAAGGTTAGGGGAAGTATTATTTAAAGCAATAAAGGTGGCATTTAGGAGGTTTGTAAGCCCAGGAGAAGGCTGCAAGGGCTCTTGGACCTGTTGGACCTCTGGGGGTGTGGATCTAGGTGTGGGTAAAGTAGCAGTTTTTTCCAGTTGGACAATTTGGCTAGGAGCTGGCCTCTCGACAGATTTAAAAATAGTTACGGCCAGTGTTGGTCATCCTATAGGCTGTGACACTGTCTGAGCCGGCCCCATCTGGGTCCCCAAGACTGGACCCACCTGAAGACGGACTGAAAAAAGTATTCCTGGATCAGTCCCTGTGGTGTATAACCTGAGGCCCCAAGTTCGCCCATCAATCCATTTTTGTCGGTTTTTAAGTTCCTTTCCTTTCGGGGTGCAGCTCAAGGAGCTAGGGTTGCATCTAGAGGAGGAACAGGGTCCCTTGAATTGCCTTGATCTGGGGTTTCACCAAAGAGTTAGGCCCAGGACCGCAGTTACCTGGATCAAGTCAGTAGTGACTGGGGTAGCCCAATTAATATATCCAGTAGACACACAGCTCCATGAAGCACAGAAATAGTTCCCTGGCCCCCACAGGTACTTCTTCGGTCACCATTGTCACCAGGGAAAACATAGAAGCAGTGCTCCTTCATCCTCTTTCAGCTGAGGGGAGACTGGCAAGCATAATTTACAGTGCCTGATGGGGTGTATGATTCCCAAGCTCCTTTAAGCAGGTCGCACAGGTCGAATGTAATCTTGGGGAACCAGACACCTGGAGGTCCCAGGTGGGAGGAGATGTTCACTATCTTTCCAGTGGATGTGCTACTAACTACCCAGGTGAGGTTTTGGAGTCCATGGGGGGAGTTAGCTAGGGCAGCCTCTATAAAAAAAAAAAAAAAAATTAAAAAGCACCAAGGGTTATGGTGTGGCAGAGATTTTTAGCTTGAGAGGAATGTCTTTTACCTATGTGCCCTTCCATCTCTTGTCGACTTGTTCTGACCAATCCTCTGATGCAGGCTTTAGATGCGAGTGATGTATCCAGATGTGGACACCGGCCACCTTAACCGCAGTGGGGGTGGTGAGGATCACGATGTGTGGCCCCTTCCATAGAGGCCCGAGGGGCTCCTTGTGGTGCCATCTCACCCAAACAAGGTCTCCTGGCTTGAATCCGTGTGGTTGGGCCGGTAGCAGTTCATAGATGTGCCTCAGCAAGGGGAAAACGTCTTGTGCAATCTGTAAGGCCTGTAGGGACTTAAGAAATTGGAATTCAGACAAGTCAGTTAGCACATCTGAAGGCAGCTTGGGAAGCAAAGGGGGTGGTTGGCCATACATGATTTCATAAGGTGTTGGGCCTTGAGTGTATGGGGTATTTCTGACCCTGTATAGGGCAAAAGGTAGGAGGCCTGTCCAGTCATCACCAGTTTCTAGGGTTAATTTGGTTAAGGTCTCTTTAAGGGTCTGATTCATTCTCTCTACTTGCCCTGAGCTCTGGGGGTGGTATGCGCAATGTAACTTCCAATTAGTCCCCAGTGTTTAAATTAACTCTTGAGTTACCTTAGAAGCAAAGGCTGGTCCATCATCTGACCTGGTCACAGAGGGGAGTCCATACCTTGATATTAGTTCATAGATGATCTTCTTAACCACCGTTGAGGTGGTTTCCGCCTTTATGGGAAACGCTTCAACCCATCCTGAAAATGTATCTACAAAAACTAGGAGATATTTATAGCCATACCTGCCAGGTTTTACCTCAGTGAAGTCCACCTCCCAATAGACTCCAGGTGTAGTGCCCCTCTCCCTTCTGGCTGGAGACATGACTTTTCCTCTTGGATTAGTAACCTGGCAGGAACAACATCTGGAAAGACAGCTCTCAATCATTTTGGTTAGATCGAAGATGTGGTACGGAGACAGGAGTTCTTGTAACTTCCTCTTCCCTAGGTGAGTCCCTTTGTGAAGTTTATATATTAAGTCCTCTGCCAGCTTATGCAGTAAAATGAGCCTCCCCATCAGAAGTGAATCTCCATCCATGCTTGATCTTGGTATCTTTCAGGGAAGTTAAATCCTGATCATCCTGAGCTGAGTAGGCGGGCTCTTCTGGCAAGAGAGGTTCAGGCAGGATAACCAGTAGGTTCGAGGCTTTTAGGGCTGCTTCTCTGGCTACTAGGTCTGCTCTCCTGTTTCCCTGTGCCTCCAGTGAATCCCCTTTTAGGTTCCCCAGACAATGGATGATGGCCAGTCTCTTTGGTAACCATATGGCCTCCAGGAGTTTTTAAATCTCTTGTTTATTCTTGATAGTCTTCCCTTCTGCTGTCAGGTGTCCCCTCTCCTTGTATATAGCCCCATGGACATGAGCCATAGTGAAAGCGTAATGGCTATCAGTGAAAATGTTAACAGTCTGGTCTTTACTTAGCTTTAGGGCCTGAGTCAGGGCAATTATTTCAGCCCTCTGGGCAGAGGTCCCAACTGGTAGAAAGGAGGCCCACACTTTCCGCAATGGACTGATGACCACCACCCCACCCCCACCCCCACCCCGTGTACCTGGTTCCTTCCTTAATGAAGCTACTTCCATCCATGAACAGAATTAAGTCCGGGTGGGGCCATGGAACATCCATCAGATCTTCCCGTGTCCCATGTAAGCTGCAGGGTACCTCCAGGCAGTCATGCAGGACCTCAAGATCCAGTTCTGGCAGAAAAGTGGAAGGATTGAGAGCAGTGCTGGAGAGGAACTGGATGCGGGGGATGGGGCGGGGGTTAAAGAGCAAGGCCTGATAATGCGTCAGCAGAGCATTTGTCATCCATTGATGGGGGAGATTTTTAAGGACACCCTCAATCAAGTGAGGGGTGGTAACCATCAAGGGCTGTCCCGGGGTGAGCTTGTCTGCATCCTTAACCAAGAAGGCCATGGCTGCGATAATTCTGAGGCAGCCCGGCCATACCGAGGCCACAGGATCAAGCTTTTTCGACAAGCAAGCCACAGGTCTCTTCCAAGGCTCGAGCATTTGGGTCAGGACTCCCTTCGCTATTCCCGCTCATTCGTCAACAAAGAGCTGACAGGGCTTATGGATATCTGGCAGAGGTAAGGCCGGAGCCTGCAATAAAGCCTTTTTAATTTCTTGAAAGGCCCTGTCCTGAGTCTCAGTCCATAGGAAGGATGACTCATTCCTTGAAAGGCCTTCTCCTGAGTCTCAGTCCATAGGAAGGATGACTCATTCCCTCGAGTGGCTTCATACAGGGGTTTTGCCAGCTCGGCGAATCTGGGTATTCAGAGCTGGCAGAAGCCTGCAGATCCCAGGAACTCTCACAACTGCCTGCAGGATCTTGGGCTTGGAATTTCCATACTGGCTTGTTTTCTGGCTTATGACAGCCACTTCTGCCCATCCCTTAATATGTACCCCAAGTACATTACCTCCGT